CTTTGACCCTTTTTCTACCTCCATGGTAGAATCTACTAGTTGCCTCCTAAACATTGATTCCTCCCTTCTCTCTAGAATGGAGCTATCCCCAATCTTAGTGAGCACATTGCAATCCAGCTAAAAGATGTTTTTCAGCCTTCCAAGCAGTGGGGTAGCCATCTGACTATGTCTAAACTCTGGTCAGTAATATATGCAGAGGTGAGGAGGATTCTGGGAAGTCTCTTTAAATGGAAAAGGTCAGTTCTACCTTCTTTTCTCCATCTACACTTGGAATATGAGTACAAGACCACTTTTTTTTTTTTAACTATCAAAATCTGGAAACCTTTTTTTTTTTTTTTACTTTGTGACCCCCTTCATCCATTTTCCTCACCCCCTACCTCTGACTCTCTGACAACCACCAATCTGTTCTCCATATCCACAAGCTTGGTTTTGGGGTTTTTTTTTGGTTTTTAGATTCCACATATAAGAGAGATCATACTATATTTGCCTCTCTGTCTGACTTAACATATATAATGCCCTTAAGGTCCATCCATGTTGTTGCAAATGGCAAGACTTCGTTCTTTTTACAGCTGAATAATATTCCATTGTATAAATATACTACATCTTCTCTGCTAATTCATCCATCCATGGACACTTAGGTTGCTTCCATATCTTGGCTGTTGTAAATAATGCTGCAATGAACAGAGGAGTGCAAATACATTTTCAAGTTAGTGTTTTCATTTTCTTTGGATAAATACTCAGAAGTGGGATTGCTGGATCATACATTAATTCTATTTTTAATTTTTTAAAACTTTTTGAGGAACCTCCATATGGTTTTCCACAGTGGCTGCACCAATTTACATTCCCACCAACAGTGCACGAGGGTTCCCTTCTCACCACATCCTCACCAATGCTTGTTATTTCTTGTCTTCTTGATAACAGACATTCTAACAGGTGTAAGGTGGCATGTCATTAGGGTTTTGATTTGTGTTTCTCTGATGAAAAATGTTGGACATATTTTCAAGTAATTTTGGCTATTTGCATGTCTTCTTTGAAAAAATGACATTTAAATCTTCTGCCCATTTTCAATCAGACTTTTTTTCGCTATTTAGTTGTATAGAGTTCTTTATTTTCTATTAGCCCCTTATCAAATACATGATTAGCAAGTATTTTCTCCCATTCATGGCAAGTATTTTCTCCCATTCAGTAGGTTATCTTTTTATTTTACTGATGGTTTCCTTTGCTGTGCAGAAGCTTTTCAGTTTGGTGTAGTTCTTCTTGTTTATTTTTGCTTTTGTCACTTTTACTTTTGTTGTCAGATTCAAAAAATCATCAGCAAAATCTATGTCAAGGAGCTTACCACCTATGTTTTCTTCTAGAAGTTGTACGGTTTCAGCTTACATTCAGTCTAATCCATTCAGAGCTAATTTCTGGGTATAGTATTAGACAGTGATCCAGTTTCATTCTTTTGAATGTAGTTATCGAGTGTTCCCAGAACCATTTATTGAACAGACTGTCCTTTCTTCATTGCATATCTTTGGCTTTGCTGTAAATTAATTGACGATATACGCGTGGGCTTATTTCTGGGCCCTCTATTCTGTTCCATTGAACAATGTATTTGATTTCACACCACTACATACTGTTTTAATCACTGCTGCTTTGTAATAGAGTTTGAAATCAAGGAACATGATGACTCCATCTTTGCTCTTATCTCTCAAGATTGCTTTGACAATTCAGGTCTTTTGTGGTTCCATACAAATTTTAAGATTGTTCTATTTCTGTGAAAAAATATTGTAATTTTGATAACAATTGCACTGAACCTGTGGATTGCTTTGGGTAGTATGGACATAGTATTAATTCTTCCAATCCATGAGCATGAAATATCTTTCCATTTATTTGTGTCTTCAATTTTTTTCCTTAATGTCTGGTAGTTTTCAGTATATAGGTCTTTCATATCCCTGGTTAAATTTACTCCTTTCTGATGCAACTGTAAATGGATTATCTTAGACCTATGATTTTAAATACCATTCAAATTCTAATGACATCCTGATCTCCAAATTCATATATCTAAACTAGATGTCTGACATCTCCACTTAGATGTGTAAAAAGCATCTCAAAATTTACTTGGTCAAAACAAAACTCTTTCCACTTCCCCTGAACTGTAGTTCTTCCCATCTTGGTACATACCACCATCTACTAGGTTGCTCAATGCAAAGACCACAGGGTCATCCTGAACTATCTCCCTCTCACCCCACCCCATACATCAGCAAGTCTCCACACATCCATCACTCTCTCCACCTCCCCTGCTACCACACTGGTGCAACCCAACGTCTCTCTCATCAGAGCCCTGCAATGGCCAGTGTGTCCTCCTATTTCCTCAGAGTCTGTTTTCTAAGCAGCAGCCAAAGTAATCTTTCAAACTGCAGAACTGATTGTGTCTCTTCTCCGCCTCTCAGACTGAAATCTAAGCTCCACATGCCCTCCAAGGCTGCAGGTGACCCGATCGGTCTCTCTCTGATTTCATTTCCTGCTACTCTTGCCTCAAGTGCTATGCTTCACTGGACGTTTCTTTTCTTTTCTTTTTTTCCCTATTTTCTGAACACTCCAAGCTTTGGACTGCTTTTTTAAAAACAGCAGCTGTGGCCTCTATCTAAATGTTCTTTCTCAGGATCTTCTCACTACCAGCTTTTCCCATCCTCATTTGGGGGGGGGCGTCTAAGCTAAGGTAGCTTCTCCCTAATCACCTGCTCTCAAGTGACTCATTTTATTTTTTTCATAGGGAATTATATTGTTTATTATTATTTTTTTAAACCATCAATTTCTCTTTACAAAGAAACTACAGGAGAATAGGGTCCTGTAGACCTTGTTTACTGCTAGGTTCCCAGGGTCTGGAACAGTGATGAGCAAGCAGTTGGTGCTCAAAAAATTATCAGTTGAATGAATAAAGACTCAACCTCAAAATTAAAAGTCACTCAGCCTGAACCATTATTCCAGGGTCTAATACTCTTTTAATAACAGATCTGAGAACTAGGTGACCACCCCATGCTGCTCACTAACAGGGATTGCTCCTGAGGCACACGACTCTATCCCTGAACAACTAAGGTTACTCAAGCCCCATTTCTTCTCAAGCTGAAGTCTGACTAGCGCTGCTTCTGTTCATCTGGGGAGGCCTTTATGATCAAGTAGAATCCGTCTGTCATGTTTTACACAAGACAGTGCTTCAATAGCTGAAGGCAGTGACTATACCTTCCCATGGCTGAGCAGTCCTAGTCTTAACAGGTCTTCAGAAGGCTGTTAAGAACAAGAGTTTTGGGTCTTATCATCACCCTCCCACACTCTCCACAACTGCCTGGAACTGCAATGCAGTCACCTACTTGCTATCAACTATGCCAGAGCACGCAGCTGTGGTCCAATCTGCCACAACTCATTGGCCGGGCTCATGACCTGGTCTCTTTCTGAGGGAGTGCAACCTTACTTAAGTTAACTCTTCTTCCTTCTAGTTCAGGCTCACACTCCATCTCCAACTCCATGGATCTTTCATACCACTAAGTGCTCATGGCTTCTGTAATCTCAGTGCTCTATGGTCGCTCCTCGTCCTCTTCCCAGAATTCCTAGCACCCAACACAGGATACCTGCCCTATCCTATGGAAAAAGACCTCCTGGCCTCTCCTTTCTTGCATGAAGGTCCTGATTTTCCAAACATGTAAATTAAAATTATAAACACTCTTAATTTTTACACAGATGGCCTGAGGTAGACCAGCACAATTTCCACCAGCAGCAACGGAACCACAAAAAAGGAGAGGCCTTTGGGCTACCATCAAAATGGATCGGAAGCTGGAAGAGCAAGGGGGAGCCAAGGCTGGTGCCCCCGGACAAACTGAAATAATCCTTGATGTACCAGTCCTGCAGATCCTGCAGAGGACAACGTGAGACCTCCATGCTATTCACTTCCTTGTTCCTCCAAGAACAGCCAAAGAAAACAAGAATTACCCCAAATCAGAATTACGATTATCTTACACCACTGCGCACAGCAGCACTTTTTTATAACCATCTGCAATCTAATTGTACTCCCTTTGCCTCCCAAACACACTGACTACTCATTTCAATCATTCAGGTAGAGAAATAACTGGGGGGGAAGGTACTGATTAAGGAGACACAGTCTGGTCATCGGAAAATATTTCAGGTGTTCCACAGAGTGTGAGCTCTCTGAGTTAATGACAGTAGCCTTAATGAAGGAGGCAGAAGAATGAAACTGTATAGTAACACACTCTTGAAAGCATTTAGGCAATGCCCAGAGGGCCAAAATACCAACTGCAAGATGACTACAATAATCCAGATATGAGATTAGCTGTGATTCAGAAACAAAAACAAAAACAAAATCTATAGGCTCAAATCTGCTACAGTGACTTTTTTTAATTCTTATATATATATTCCAAGAGGTAATAATTTCTAAAATGCCACATTAGACCAGTCTTCCAGTAGTCTGTCTTTGACAGGTGAAACAAAGAGTAATTTGTGGGGAATCCAGATAGTTATCTTCTTTATCTGCCTCAGAAGATAAAAATGTCCCCTCCTTAGTTTGTCCCTGCTCCTTAATAACGTGCCATATATTCAGCCTTTACACAATGAACCTAAACCGTATCTGGTCAGATTTTACTTTTAATAATCATATGTTCCTTAAACTCTTGACAGTGGCCCCTAGTTCCAAATAGTCCAATCTCATTAATTTCAACTAGGATCAGATAGTTTCAAAGCAAACTTAAGTATCTATTCTTTTAAATCTTTCTCTCATTACTGAATGTTGATTAGGTCCCTGACACTGTAGAAAAATGCAGTTAGACATTATCTCCTCTAATATAATTATTCCTTATACTCATTCTAAAGAGGTCTAGCCTTTTAAAATCTGCTCTTAGAGGAATGCTCCTCCCTCTCTCAACCACTAGCTGTCCTTTAATCAGTCTCCACCAAGTTCACTTAAGAACTGAAAACAAACAGTGAAGTCAATTTAAAACTCAACTTACAACATTGTGTGATCTTCTGGATGTTGGAAGAGATTCGCTGTGCCACCTGGGCGGGGTCACCACCAACTCCTGGAGTGTAAGACATGGCTGATTTGCTTAGTCACTAATTTCATCAGCTGTTGCTGGACTGTCAATTTTCTAAGCAGTCACCTAAATGACAAAAAAGAAAAAAGTCACACAATTGCATTTTTAAAGTTACTGGCTTACAGTTTTCAATCTGGGAGGTTACAAGTACAAATTTGACAAACCTAACAGGGTCGAAATATAAGAAAGGAATACATCAAAGGGTAAAACTCTCAGGTCTATTAAAAAAGGGGCGGGGGGGTATAGGACAGAACTGAGTTAAACATGTTAAACAAAATAAGGTTCAAATTGTCCATTCCTTTTGGAAACAGCTTTAGTCTCTCTAAGTAACAGTAAGTCCCTTTTCTGTGTATGATTTCAATTGTTCATATGTCTTCTCCTTAACTAACTGTGTGCAACTATAAGGCAGGGCCCCCACACCATTTATCTTTCTTTCTCCAACATTTAAGGTAATTCCCTGCACTGAAGAGGAATTTAAATATTACTTATATGACACACTGATTTCAGGCTATCCCCAGAAATTTCATTATATCTAATGTAACTTACACAGAACAGCTCAGGAACAAAGTGACTAACAGGCCTCTAATTTTAATAGGAAAGAAGGTCAAATTTGAAAGAGCAGAGTTGACCCATAAGAAAAAAAGAAATGTCTTGTAAAATGCTCACCAAACACACACCTTCCTGACAGAGCAAGAACAACCCTCCTCTGGCAGATGCCAGTGTCTTACAATACGAAGCTAAGCTGGGACCTTGCCATAAGAAGGAGGTAAGATGAAGTTCTGTTCTTCTTCAATCCATGCCATACCACTCAGGGCTTGGAAAATGGGTGTCCCTGAGGACAGGACTCTGCGCAGCAAAGAATTTCAACTACTCCTACACCATCTTTTCATTGAGTGTGCACTGAATATTGCAAAGATGTGGGTAATTTGTAGGCTAACTCTGAGTCTGCTGCAAGTCTGCTACATGCCCAGCATTAAACTGAGCACTGGGGAGCTGCAAGCAACAAACAAAACAACCAAGATAAAGCATCTGCTCAAATTGAGATTGCCATTTAGAATAAAGGATAAAGTTAATAATGTAAAACAACAAAAGCAGTACAAATTAGCAATCAGATCATGTGACAGGCAAGAGTCGTAGGAAGGACAAAAAGGAAATAAAATATCACGATCACCTTTATCTAAAAAAATGTATGCAACTTGGATATAAGGTTTGGATATCTGGGTATGACTGGCATGGAAAACAACAAAGGCAAAGACACGAAGCCGGGGGCAGACAGACTCAGACCACGTGGACAGTACAAATGCAGTGTCATTTACCAAAGGAACAGGAGGTTCCTGGTCAACCCGGCATCAGATGACTCATGGCTGGGATAAGTAGGAGACAACACAGAAAGGGCAGGAGAGGAATGTCCTAACATTTATTGCACATCTGTGAAATGAAAAGCATTTCACATAGGCTAGTTTTATTTTCAAAATCTCCCCTTTGAAGTAGGTAGTAGCAAATAAACTTTGCTTTAACAATGAGCAAACTAGTTTATAAAGATTAAATAACTGGAAAGGTACCCCAACCCACCTAGCAGGCAGAGATGGGATTTAACCTCAGGGATCTGGTTCCAAGGCTACCCATCCTTGCTACCACACAAAACTCACATCACAGAAGAGGGCGGGCCTAAGATGCAAGGTTTCCTTTGAGTATGTTGTGAGAACCCACTGGAGATTTCTGGTAGGGAAGAAAAGGCCACAAGGAAATACTGTGTTCTAAGGGTCAGTGCTGGCAAGAAGTACAACAGTGGAACTGCTGAGCTGGGTAGAACAGTACTGGTGTCATGCCTGAAACTCTGGCACATCAGGGAATGTGCCTGGCCACCCTGGAACCCCTGGGAGCTTTTAGATGCTCTCCCTGCTCCCTCACTGATCCACAGGTCCAGTTTATCTATTCTGGGCCCTTTGGACCTCACTAAGTCGTTAAGATAGCTCCAAAACTAACTTCATAAAAGGGTAAATTCAAACCTCAACTCTGACAGCAGAACCATTAGAGCAGGGCAGCAGGAATAAAATTCCTTCCAGGTGGCCTTGGACTTGGGCCTGCAGCCATCTGAAGAGTTGGGGCCCAAAACAAGACTGGATCTGGGATCCAATGAGACCAGCACTATCCCAAGTGTCCCACAAACCACCAGCTGGATCTTTAAATTCTGTATCTTTTTTTTTTTTCCATTAAGAGCTTTACTGAGTTATAATTCACATACCATACGATTCACCTATTTAAAGTACAGAATCCAATGGTGTTTTTAAATATTCACAAAGTTGTGCCACCATCACCTCACTTTTAGAACATATTCTTATCCTCAAATAAAGCCCATATCTATTAGTAGTGACATCCTATTTTTCTCCAACCTCCCCAGCTATAGGTCACCACTGATCCACTTTTTTCTTTAAAAGCTTGCCTATTCTGTACATTTCATATGAAAGGAATCACACATTATGTGTTCTTTTGTGACCAACTTCTTTCTCTTAGCATGCTTTTCAAGATCCATCCATGTTGTAGGATGTATCAATAGTGTGTTCTTTTTCATTGCCAAATAATATTCCACTGTACAGACAAGGACAATTTTCTCCTGGCTTAATGATATCTTTCTCCTTTCCCTCTATCAACTAGATCTCTTAAAAAAAAGAAAAGAAAAAAGAAAAACTCGCTCACAGCCAACACAAACTGAACAAGGAAATGTTCCTCCTTCTTATTTATGTATTCTCTTAAGGGTGTTCCTCCATCCACTAAATACACCTATACACAAATGAGTCTCACATCCATGTTTCCAAGTCATACTCTTTAGTGTCTATGTATCTTTGAAGCCATGGGAACCCAGTTGCCAGTGTTACTGGCAACGAAAAATCTCTACTTTGGAGAAAATACTCAGTATTTGGGCTTACTGCCAGGATCCAAATGAGACAATACATGTCCAGGGACCAAGAGCTTTTCTGCTCTACACAGAGGAAAGGTATGACCTGCTCTTGCATCTGCTGGACCAGCATCAACAACAGATCATGACAACCTCACCTGCATCAGAACTACACAACCACATTATTGGCTGAGGCTACTCTCCCCAAAAGAAGGCATAAAATTACTAAGTCCCCTCGATTCCAGCTTAGTATTGTAGTATTTCCCTTAACCCTCAACACTCAGAAAGCCTGGTCTAAGCCTTCTCACTGTTCTCTTCTACGGCCTCCTTTTTCCTTCTTCAAAGAATCAATCCATCAGCCATAAACACTACTAGCTTTCCTCATCCCTTTACTTAAGCAACTAGATTTGAGAAAGGTCCTGCTGGTGAGACAACTAAGCTTCATTCATTCAAAGAGCTGCTACTGTTGGACTGCCTGGCATTTCCTGAGAGAAAGGGCACAGCAATGATCCCGTCAGTTCAGTGCTGAGTGAAGAATGAAATCTGTGAATGATGGAAAAGATACGTAAAAAAATCAACAAGATTAACAATGGCTAAGGTGGGTACCATTTCCTAAGCATTGTGCTTAGGACTCTTCCATTTATTTTCTTAGGTGCTTCTTCCACCAAGCCTATGAGATGGGTACAATAACTATTATGATTTTTCACATGAAGAAACTGAGGCATAATGAGAAAAGCAACTTGCTTAATGGAAGAAAAAAGCTAGAATTTGAAACTAAATCTTCAGTGTCTATATTTTTAAAACACAAAACCATATTGTTGCTTCCCTGTATAACAAAATTAGGGACAGGTGAGTCCACTCAATTAGAAAAACCAAATTTACCCCATTTTTGCAGACTCTGTATGAAGTTCTGCCAAACTCACTCTCAGGATGAGGAAACAGGCTTGGGATGACCACACAAGCAGATCAAAGTAATGCGGCTGAATAGCTTATGCGTATTCTCTCTTATTCTGCTAACAGTGATATCTAAAACACAATGGTTGGCTCTTCTGATGATGACATGAGACATAAAGGATCCAAATGACTAACTTTACCATAAAAAACATATAAACGGATAGATAGCTGACTATAAATTGACTTACAAGTTTATGATCTGTGCATATGGGCTAAATCAACCAAGTGTTCTGATGTTTGTTTTCCGCATCAGTCTCTAGCACCTTGGCCAGTGCTAATATGCACTAAAGTACTCTTGCTGTATACTTCTGAAAGCCCATTCAGAATCCCTAGTTTTATGGCTTAGAAAAGCAGTAACTCATTTTCTATACATGTACTATCAAGTGTTCAAATGTCACATGTGTGATCAGTGGCTTGGACGGCTCATGCATGGAAGATTTCCATCAAAGCAGAAAGTTTACTGAACAGGGCTCACCACATATCTCAATAATTAGCTTTCTATGAGGATTGTAAACACTACAAAGGGAAAGAAAGGAAGAGAGGATCAAAGTGCAATAATTATAATGAGAATCTTCTCAAGGCTTTCTAAAGAGCACAAATAAAAGAACAAAGGGAATTTTAAAAAGAAATCTTGAGGGTCAAACACTATCCCTAGTTACTACTGGACACCAAGGAGAATTCTTAAGATTCCCATTAAGCGTAAGTCTCGTGTTCCATAAATTCAGTGTAGATAAAGCAACGGAAATAGTTTCACTTTCTTAATGGTGAGCACCAGGATACAGTACCAGACTTTCCTCTACCTGATGCTCCAAAATGATAAGTTCCCAGAGGGGCAGGGTTTTTTTGTTTGTTTTGTTTTGTTTTTAATTTGTTTGTTTTTTGTCTATTTTGTGGACTGCTCTATTTTCAGTACCTGGATATATAATAAGTGCTTAATAACTATTTGAAGAGTAAATGAATAAATGCACCTATTTCCTAAGCACACCCAGTCTAAGGGTAAATGTTGCTATTTCTAAGACAGTGAATTCTGGTGCCTGGATGTCCCAGGCTTATCACCGTCTTGGGCCATTGCTGCGTGCCATTTCCTTTTCCTGGAGGGATCTTCCCATGATCTCCATGTGACTGACTCCTTTTTCCCAGCAAAGTCTCATCACGTGCTAGAGAAGCACTCCATAACCACTTGGATCTGAAGTGAGATTCCCACCCCACCACTCTCCGATCTCTTACCACATCATAGTGCTAATCACCATTTAAAATGATCTAGTAAGTGTATCGTTTATTATCTATCCCTACCTCTGGAATATAAACATGAGAAAGACAAGGCTGCACCTTGTGGAATCCACGGTATTGGGTGAGTAGAAGATGTTCCATGAATGTGAGGGTGATCACTCAACTACAGACATGAGCATTCTCTACATAAACTATATTAACTGCATTCTTTAGCTCAGCTCCTCCATCCATTAAACTGTTACACGATTTGGGTTTAGTTCACAATACCAAGGATTATTTTTCACCTTTTCACACACTAAACTTTAAAATTACATGGAATTACAGCAAACTTTACTCAGACTTACTGCAGACTTTTTATAATTTTTTTTCAACCAGCAGTACTTGGCTTAAGTTTGAGATCATAACCAAAATTAAGACTGACTTTGTTATTGGGAGCAGCAGAAGTAAAATAGCTGAAGAAAACCCGTAGAGGTTAACGAGTTAACATGGTACCATATTAACTTCTACAGAAACTTTGAAACTAGATCGTAATTCTCAACTAGTCACAAGTCTGAAGCAAACTTCTCAAAGTGGCCTGCAAAGCAGGGGCCTGCCCACACCACAAGACACAGTTTAACACTGCTCAGTTTCTGTCCTGGGGGAGTGATTAGGCCAACCCCAGGAGAAGCGTCCACCTCCGATATTACTAAACAGCACAGCATTTCAAAATCATTTCCTTTTCTTCCAGAGTCCATGCAAGTTTTAAATTATACACAATTATGGTCAGAATATGTTGATCAGAATTAAACAAAAACTGACGTTATGTCTACAAGCGACAAACAAATGCAAGAAACTTGAGAGAAAAAAATACAGCGTTTGATTGGAAAGGCAATTTTCTTTTCTTTTTGTCTGTATTTAAATGAAGTAACAACCTAAAAAACAACAGGGGTGAAGTGAGGAGGCATCTTGAAATAGTTTATGTATTTTTTAAAGAGGTTTTACAAACCAATTAAGGACATGTATTGAAAAGATGAAAGAAAGCATGTCAAAGTCTCCAAGCCAAACAGAAAACCATCTACAATGAAGCTCTGAATAAACGTATATGGTTCCTTTACTATAGCCATATGTATTTTGAGTTCTTCTGTATTGGGAAGAGAACTTGAAAGCGCGTTTTCTAAATCCACGGGTTAAAAAGAGGAAGAGGTCAATTCGCGTCCAGCCCGAGGCAGAAGCTGGATT